ACAGAGCCTCAAGCTGTCACCCTGGATAGAGGACAGTGGCATCACAGCTCATAGCAACTCCCACTCCTGGGCTCAAGAGATTCTCTTGCCTCCATCTCCCAAGTAGCTGGGACTACAGGTGCCCATCACAACACCCAGCTGTTTTTTGGTTGTAGCCGTCATTGTTGTTTGGTGGGCCCAGGCTGGATGTATATATACACCCACCAGCTCAGGTGTATGTGCCTGGCACCTTAGCCGCTTGAGCCACAGGCGCCGAGCCTTTTTTTTGAGTATGGGTCTCACTTTGTTGCCCCAGGTAGAATGCCGTGGTGTCATAGCTCACAGCAACCTTTTGGGCTCAAATGATCCTCTTGCCTCATCATCCCAAGTACCTGGGACTACAGGTGCCCACAAAACAACTGGCTAGTTTTAGCACTAAAGTAATCCACCTGCCTCAACCTCCCAGAGTGCTAAGATTAGAGTGAGCCACTGTGCCCTGCCCTCCTTACATGCTTTCCTGCTAAACCATAAAGGCATGAACATGATGATCCATGTAACAATCCTACAGTCCATGGTAGTAAGATACTTATAGCTGATTTTGACAAAGCTGTTAACTGTTGGCTTTAGTGTCAATTGTCAGCATAATCCAATATTTAAGTTACCAAAAAGAGTCTTACTTGCTGCATCTGTTGCTGTAATCGCTTTCTCTGTGCTGAGTCTAGAATTAGAGTCTGTTGAACTTTCTCACTTTGAGGCTTAACCTTCTCTACCTCCTGCTGCTGTTTGGCTGAAGATTTCTTCATTTTCAGTTGTTCAAATAACTCCTTCACTGTCCGACGTTGTTCATTTAGCAAGTTGGCCAGTGGTTCCTCAAACCTGTCCCCAACAAGAAGATGACTTAACATAAGAATTTTCCTGTGTCTAGGGAACATCTAATCTAACAACACATCTAATCCTTCCTAATGGTGAGGTAAGAGTCTAAATAATGTTCATTTATCACTAACCCCCAAATCCCACTTAAGCCAACAAACTTATCCAAATCTTTTCTCAAATTGTTAACACAGATTCAAATAAGATGGTTCTGCATTACCTTCTATTCCCTACCCCATTCTTCTACAATTACTGCTCTAAGTGATACACACATGAAGAGGAAATTAAACAAAAGTCAAGAAACAGAGAATGATCGGGATAACAAAGTAGCCAAGGTACTAGTGGGAACTTGTCATTCTTCTTAAATCATACCTATATGCATATTAATTTGGTACTTCTTCTTATATGTGATATACAATCTTCTAAAAGAATAGCATTTGCCAGGTGTGATGGCTCATGCCTGTAATCCCAGTACTTTGGGAGGGTAACCCGGGTAGATTGCCTGAGCTCAAGAGTTCAAGACCAGCCTCAGCAAGAGCCAGAACCCATTCCTACTAAAGACAGAAAAACTAGCCAGGCGTTGCAACTAGCTACTCAGGAGGGTGAGGCAAAATGCTCACTCAAGCCCAAAAGTTTGAGGTTGCTATGAGCTAGGATGACACCACAGCACTCTACCCACGGCGACAGAGTGAAACTCTATCAAAAATTAACTGTCAAGGGGCAGCACCTGTGGCTAAAACGGGTAGGGCACCGGTCCCATATGCCAGAGGTGGCAGGTTCAAACCCAGCCCCAGCCAAAAACAGTCAAAAAAAAAAAAAAAATTAACTGTCAAAATTAACATTAAATTAAATTAGATTAGACTTTTTAAAAAAAATTTTTAAGTACAGTATTTGTCTCTGATTTACCTGTTACTACCATCTCAGACCCAGCTTTTCCCCTCTCCCTACCCACTCAGGCTGCCCTGCCCTAGCATGAAGTAGGAAAGAGATACACTAAAATATATCAGAACTAATAATCATGAGTGTCCAACCCTCTGCCACATGTTGGAAGAAGGAGAAATGTCATAGGCCATAAATTAAATATAAAACCACTAAAGACAAATGATCAGCAAAAATGAAGATGATATCCAACACCAAAGATAAGCAAAAAAAAAAATTCCTCACAAAATCAGCCTTCAGCCCTGTGGCTGCAGTTTGGATGACCCTGGTAGACAAAAAAAACTGAAAAGTAAGTTCAAATATTACCTAAAATATCTTATTTCTGTGTTGGATTTGCATCTGCACTTTAATCTAATTGTTCCCTGTTCTAAGTAGCAACGTACAATTGTCAGAGAGGTCAGGATGCAGTGTGTACTGTGGGAGGAACGAAGCAGAACTCAGAAAGCCACCGTCTTCAATTCATCTTCCTACTTTGCTACCCCTAACTTCCCACCCCTACCTCATGAGAGACTAGTTGCAGGGCTGAAGCAAAAATCCAAATACCCAGCACACCAGTTTTTCAGTAAAGGTGGAACAAGACATTTCAGCAATGAAACATATGCTGATACCCTGTGCAATCAGGATAAGATATGTTGATGTGGCCATGACATGTAGGTTATCATTTTAAGGAATCTCTTATATCATAACAACAGTTAAATGACAACTTTTTTCAGAGTATCTGAGGATGAAGACTATGTTTCCTTTTATAGTATTTACTGGGGGTTGGGCACATTTTTAGGACAAAAACCCAAAGACCATGGGACTATCCTCTGCACAATCTTTTTTTTTTTTGAGACAGAGCCTCAAGCTGTCCCCCTGGGTAGAGTGCCGTGGCATCACAGCTTACAGCAACCTCCAACTCCTGGGCTCAAGCGAGTCTCCTGCCTCCGCCTCCCAAGTAGCTGGGACCACAGGCGCCCGCCACAACGCCTGGCTATTTTTTGGTTGCAGCTGTCATTGTTGTTTGGCAGGCCCAGGCTGGATTCGAACCCTCCACCTTAGGTGTATGTGGCTGGTGCCTTAGCCACTTGAGCCACAGGCGCCAAGCCCCTCTGCACAATCTTGATCATCTATCTGCTGCTCCACTGTCATAGCAACAGAAGGGCAGAAACATAAAATAATAGACAATGCAGAAATAGCCTTCACCTAAGTTCAGTAAGTACCACTTGGGTAGCTGATAATGGGAGCAGACTCACATTCCCCAAAATGTTTGGGGGTTTGTTTGTTTCTTTGTTCTGAATGTGTACTTACAGAACCCATTTAAAGAATAACAAGTGGGTCAAATACTGTTTCTTGTAATCTGTGGTATCAGTGGCACTGTGGTATTTGTTGTAATGGAGTATGACAGGTATTTCTGGTCCTGACACACTGGTTAGTTAACTAGAAGGTCCATGCAGTCCTAGCTTTCAGATGGTTCCCGAGCTCTCTACCCAGGTAATGCTTTTAAATGAAAACGCAGGACAAACCGCAAACTGTGGGTCTCTGAGCTCGGCTACGTTTTTCCAACAGCATACTGCATCTTGACCTCTCTGACAACTCTAAGTGGCTACTCAGAACAGGGAACAACAAAGTACAGATGCAGGGCAGTGCCTGTGGCTCAGTGGGTAGGGCGCCAGCCCCATATACCAAGGGTCCTGGCTTCAAACCTGGCCTCAGCCAAACCGCAACAAAAAATAGCCGGGCATTATGGTAGGCACCTATAGTCCCAGCTACTTGGGAGGCTGAGGCAGGAGAATCGCCTAAGCCCAGGAGTTGGAGGTTGCTGTGAGCTATGACGCCATGGCACTCCACTGAGGGCAACAAAATGAAACTCTGTCTCTTAAAAAAAAAAAAGTACAAATGCAAATCCAACGCAAAAATAAGAGGAAAAATCATAGCCTCTGCTTTCTGGATGGTGACAGAAGTACCATCTTATGCAAAAAGGACAGTGCATATGGTTCAGACTCTGAACTGCAGGTGCCTTAGGGTTTGCACAGCTAATATCTAGCCATCTAATAGATTTTCAGTAACATTTACCAGATGTTAATGACAAACAGGGAGAATAGGGACACACTGGATATTGTGACTTGGGGCAGTTACTGTGGCTGGCCCTGTCCAGTCCCACACATTCTCCAGTACCACTCATCTGGAGAAGCTGTTCTGGATGCCAGCTGCTATTTTCTCTCCTTCCCAAACAGATACAGCTTGGTCTGTAGCTGCACTGCCCCATGATAAGGAGAATTTCGCTTGACACCTAATTCCCCATAGGGCTCTATCTCCTTCTATCAGTAACAAAAGCCAGTGGGGATAGGAAATTGTTAATTGTAATTTCTCAAAACCTTTCAGAAATAAACTTTTCCTTTATTCTGACTCTCAAGGTTTTCAACTAGCCTACCGCAGGGCTTGAGGGGTGTTAAAGTTAGGACGAGACTCAGCCACACGCTCCTCCTCTTCCGGGCCATCATCTTCCATGTTGGAAAATCCCATCTCATCTTGGAACTGTGGGCAAAGGAAAAGGAAGGTTTTTCAGGAGAATGACCCTATGAACATCACTCCAGCAGTGACAAGGGAAAGTGAAAACTACCGTTCACAAGACTTGAGTGATGACACCCAGAAAAAACCTTCATTAGACATTCTCACATTGAGACTTCAACAACTCCATACTTGGGATGACTATTATGCCAGAAAAAAAGTCTCTCAGTCAGCAAACTTATAATAATAAGGATAGAGTATATATAACTCAAAATAATCAATCTCTTCAATCTTTTTTGTTTTTTGAGACATAGTCTGATTTTGTCCACCTTGGTAGAGCACAGAGGCCTCATCACAGTTCACAGCAATCTCAAACTCTTGGGCTCAAGCCAACCTCCCAAGAAGCTGCCTCAACCTCCCAAGAAGCTTGGACGACAGGCACCCACCACAATGCCTGGCTATGTTTAGAGACGAGGTCTCACTCTTGCCCAGGCTGGTATCAAACCCCTGAAGCTCAAGTGATCCACCCCCTCGACCTCCCAGAGTGCTGGGATTATAGGTGTGTGACACCACACCCAGCATGATAAATCTCATTTTTGGTTGGGGTGGGGGGTGTTTGTTTTTTGAGACAGAGTCTCATGTTGTTGCCCTCGGTAGAGTGCCGTAGCATCACAGCTCACAGCAACCTCCAGCTCTTGGGCTAGGGCAATTCTCTTGGCTCGGCCTCCCGAGTTGCTGGGACTACAGGCACCCACCACAATGCCCGGCTATTTTTGTTGCAGTTGCCACTGCTGTTTTAGCTGGCCAGGGCCGGGTTCCAACCCATCGCCTTCGGTATATGGAGCCAGCGCTCTACCCACTGAGCCACAGTCACCACCCATGATCAATCTCTTAAACAGAAATATCTTTATTTTATTTTATTTTTTTGGAAACAGAGTCTCACTATGTCACCCTTGGTAGACTGCCATGGCATCACAGCTCACAGCAACCCTAAACTCTTGGGCTTAAGAGATTCTCTTGCTTCAGCCTCCCAAGTAGCTGGGACTGCAGGCGCCTGCCACAAAGCCTGCTATTTTTGTTGTTGTTGTTGTTGTTGTCATTGTTATTTTAGTAGGCCCAGACCAGGTTCAAACCCGCCAGCCCTGTTGCATGTGGCCTAGCACCTTAACCACTAAGCAATGGGTACCTAGTCCAGAAATTTAGAGACAGAGTCTCACTTTGTCACCCTCAGTATAGTGCCGTGGCATAACAGCTCACAGCAACCTCCAGTCTTGAGCTTAGCCAATTCTCTTGCCTCAGCCTCCCAAGTAGCTGAGACTACAGGCACCTGCCACAACACCCGGCTATTTTTTTTTATTGTAGTTTGGCCAGGGCCAGGTTCGAACCCACCACCTTCAGTATATGGGGCCAGTGCCCTACTCACTGAGCCATAGGCGCCACCCCAGATGTATCTTTTAAACTGGGTGTAGTAGTGTGCACCTAGTCCCACCCTCTCAGGAAACTGAGGCAGGAAAGTTACTTGAACCCAGGTATTCTGGGCTGGGTAATCTAGCTGGAGTAATATTGCAAGACCCTATCTCAAAAAAACCAATAAACAAAAATATCTCTCAAGAGATAAATTTATGAAAAGGTAACTACTTGTTCTCAGAATAGTCTCAGATTAGTTTACAATCTTTAAAGACACACCAAGCATAATAGGGAAGGCCATCAAAACTTTTCATGGAAAAATTTCTAATAACCTCCGTATGGATATTTAAGGGTTTAGGCTCAGCACCTGTAGCCAGCCACATACACCAAGGCTGGCGGATTCGAACTCAGCCTGGGCCAGCTAAACATCAGTAACAACTGCAACAATGACAACAACAAAAATAGCTGGGTGGTGTGGTGGGCGCCTGTAGTCCCAGCTACTCGGTAGGCTGAGGCAAGAGAATCGCCTAAGCCCAGGAGTTGGAGGTTGCTGTGAGCTGTGACACCACACTACCAAGGGCAACATAGTGAGACTCTGTCTCAAAAAAAAAAAAAAAAGAGTTTACTAGTTGGTAAATTTCTCTTGTCACCATATTCTTTCCTAGGAAGACTAAAAGGATAACTGGCTCAATCAGAGACCAAAGGACAAATCTTACTGGAAAATCTACTTTTACTATCCCATGTTGTCACTTGAGGATCATTACTCACAGTTTCAAACAGCTCTTCCATCAGTTCATTCACTTCCTTTTCTGCAAAAAAGCCAAATAGTATGTTGTTGGCATAAA